TTCAACCCTCCTTTCTTGGTGACTAGCATGTTTTTGACCTTGGACTGGCTAGGATTTCTGTTTCACTACTGTTTCACGTCTTCCTAGCTTTGTTTATCTAGACTATTGACTTGCTGAATAACTCCTTGACTGGCTGAAAACCACTCTCTTGCTTCTCCCTTTATCTGGTGGATACCTTGTGATGGACCTGGACTGAATGGACTGCTCAACAGCTCTTGTACTCTAACTACCTGATTCCTGGGCCACTTGCTGACTTGAGCATAATACAGAATTCTTCCCCCAATGCCCTAACTGAGAATTGCATCAGCTATTTGCAGCTGTTGTGATAATGACTAGAAAACTGTTGGAAACTCCTTTGATCACAAACAAGTGCACATGGAAGATCATTTCTTTTCTTTTGTTCAAAATAATAAAATGGAAAGATGTTTGCAGGATTTGGAAGCCAGCAGGAGAACATTTTGATCTCCTAATGAACTCCAGTTCTGATTTAAAGGTAGTCATTTTCTTTCAAAAGAATTCTCAAAGAGATGCTTCAGCATGAAAATGCTGAATTAGAACTTATCAAGAAGTTTGTTTCAATCTATGTAGGCTTAAATCAAGAGAATGCTTGTTTGTTCCATTACAAATGCTAATTGACTTACCAAAGCTAAGATGTTCTGTAATAATATATTCACTAAAGGTTTGTGGACCTGTCACAAAGTAGGTTCACTTCACCTCAATTTGACTGCACTATTCAGGATTTTTTCCTCATTAGTATATAACTGTTTGTATCTCGTTACACATACATACAACTTCCAACCAAGGATAATACTGCTCACATCTGATTAGACAGGATCCAGTCTATGAAAGCTTGTGCCATAATAAATATGTTGGGCTTTAAGGTTCACAATATTTACTGCTGAAGAACACTACTATGTAGCACAGAAAGAACTTTTCACATTTTCTTATCCGTGCATTTATAAAATCAGTGTTCTGGCTTCTGTTGAATTTGCTTCATAAAAAAACCCCAGAACCAATTCATACTGCCACACCAGTAAGGTCAGTTCTGGGAATGTTTATGGTCAGCCCTCCACATTTGCTGGGGTTAGGGGTGCAGGATGTCTGCAAAAGAGGAAAAACTGCAAATAACTCTAGCCTCCCTCCCACCATATTTCACACACACAAAGAGTACAGTCTGCAGGTTCAACCCACCATGGATGCATCTGAGGAGGTAGAGTTCCTTCTCAAGGCACTGCCTCCACTGCTTTCCTATGCCATTTTTAATAGGGACTTACAAGCTTCATTCGTAGTCTGTCTCACAAGGCTTCCAGTCCCTATTAAAGATGGCATAGGGCAGTGTAGAGGTGGCAGAGAATAAGCTGTGAATAGTCAGATCTGCAAAAGTCAAACTCACAAATGTGGAGGACTACTGTAAAATTATAGTAGCTTATCCACATATCTACACATGCATCCCCTTTCAAAGGAAATAAAGTGCAAGGTAACATCTCTTCCTCAGCAGTGCTTTTTCACAGGTAGCCATTCATGTGTATGGACCGCCATGTTAATCAGTAATCCATTTTCAGCATGCCTTTGAAACAGGATGGTCTGTGAAAAAGGCAGAAGGATACCCATAGTTCTATGTCAATACCTACAGCCAACTGTGGCAGCCTGAGCATCAGACACTTTTGTTGTGGCTGCCACCATTCAGCCAATCATTGGGTGGACAAGACTGTTCTGTGGGCATTTGTTACCCATTTGTCTGAGTGTAGCATCAAAACTGGGTGTTATCGACATGTTTCTCTTCACTGAGAAACAATTTTGACAATTAGAAATAAGACCTACGAACATGAAGGCTGCTACTTTCTAAAAGGGAGGGCTCCAGACGCTGCTGTTCTTTGGAGAGATGGTCTTGTCTCTTGTGCTGCTTTCCCTTGCCCATCTCCTGCAGCTTCAATATTTCATTCATGTTTCCCTATCCATCCATCCATCCCACCCACCTACCTTCTTGCCCATCTTCTCGGCTCTTTCAGAGAAATGTGTGTGCGCCTCTCTGTGTGTGTCTCTGTGTGCGGAGCGTGTGCGTGGGTGGCCTTTGAAAGGCTTGTTGTCAATCACATCACTAAGCTGAAAAGAGACAGAGAGATGGGGGAGAGCAGTTGAAATGGGGGACGTGGGCGGCTATTGTCACTGACGCTGCCAGCCAACAGGCCAGCCCTTCCCTGGGGGCACTGGCACCAACCTGGAGAGTGAGGCTTTCTCCCATTTATTAAATGACCACCCCTGCGTATCTTCTCCTGCCACCATAGCTGGGACAATAAAAAGGATGGGGTGACCAGGATTGCACTCTTGACATCTACTGTGCAAATGTTTCCACCACAAACTATAGCAGTGTGTTGGGAGTCATCTCACTGCATTCCCCTTTCTCGGTTGTTTTAGGCCCAGGAGATATGTATTCATCCAAGATGGATGCTAGAAGCATTGAATGGGGGAAAGCTTTGAAACATTTTTGTTAAAAATTGGGGAGAGAAGTCAAGAACCCTTGTGGGCCTCAAAAATGGCCTTGCGATCTTACCATGCCCATCCCAGTCAACAAAGGTGCATCTGGGTTGCACGAGGGGGGGGGGTGGACAAAATAAATTGCAGGGACTTTGGAATATGTAACCGAAGGAGAGTGTTTTTATTTTAAAGAGTCTCACTTGCAGGGGAGTGTGGGGTAGTGGTTTGAGTGTTGGACTACAACTCTGAAGACCAGGGTTCAATTCGCTGCTCAGCCATGGGAACCCACTGGGTGACCTTGGGCAAGTCACACACTCTCAGCCTCAGGGGAAGGAAATGACAAACCTCCTCTGAACTAATCTTGCCAAGAAAACCCCATGACAGGGTCGCTATATCTTGGAAATGACTTGAAGGTGCACAACACACACTTGCAGGGGATCTTGTTTTGGGATCGCCTATTCAAACAACTGAGGATGCTTTGGATTAAAACTCCTGGGCAGCAATGGCAGCAATTGGGGTCATATTGTGCTGGAAAGGGGGAGAGAGGCAGGAGTTTAGCAGGAGATGAGGCACTGAGCTTCTCCTCTTCGGTTCTCTGCAGGGTGCAATGGGAGGCTGTGGAGCAGCAAGAAAAGGGAACCCATTGGATCAAAGGGGGAACTTTCAATAGGTAAGGTCCTGTCAGGGAGGAAGGTTTGGGGGCAGAGCTTAGCTCCCCAAATTCCTCCCAGCGCCTCAGTTATATATTCAGAGTGGAAGGATGTGAAGCAATGAGGAATCCCCTGTGCATGTGCAGAGTGCCTTTGGTTTTCCCCACAATGCTGAGCAACCACTGCAGAAAGAAACCACTTTGACACCACTTTCACTGCCCTGGCTCCATGCTATAGAGCCAGGGCAGCAAAAGCGGTGTCAAACTGGATTATTTCTGCAGTGCAGATGTAATTCCAAGTGGCTTTTCTTATTCCACCCCCCCTTAAACTCCCTCATCTCTATGTGTGTCTAGGAAGGGTGTGTGTATGTGTGTGTGAGTGTGTAAGAAACGGCCTTTCCCTGCTTGCCTGTGATG